GCTATTGTGACATTAACTCACTCACACTGGCATGCAACATGAACCATACTGTATAGGACCCAGGGCTATAGCAAGAAGCAGACACCTTTCAACCAATTAGGAGCTGTAGGAGAGAAGAGGCAGGAGGGTTAGGGGAGGCAGGAGGGTTAGGGGAGGCAGGCGGAGGGGAGGCAGGCGGAGGGGAGGCAGGCAGAGGGGAGGCAGGAGGGTTAGGGGAGGCAGGCGGAGGGGAGGCAGGCGGAGGGGAGGCAGGCAGAGGGGAGGCAGGCAGAGGGGAGGCAGGAGGGTTAGGGGAGGCAGGCGGAGGGTTAGGGGAGGCAGGAGGGTTAGGGGAGGCAGGCGGAGGGGAGGCAGGAGAGTTAGGGGAGGCAGGCGGAGGGGAGGCAGGCGGAGGGGAGGCAGGAGGGTTAGGGGAGCAGGCGGAGGGGAGGCAGGAGGGTTAGGGGAGGCAGGAGGGTTATGGGAGGCAGGCGGAGGGGAGGCAGGAGGGTTTGGGGAGGCAGGAGGGTTAGGGGAGGCAGGCGGAGGGGAGGCAGGGGGAGGGGAGGCAGAGGGACCCAGGGGGAGGAATAGCTACAGATTGTAACACCAGATAATGTGATTTAACCTGCCAAAAATGTAGACTATAGAAAATGCTCAGTTAAAATAAAAAATAAAATTGGGGTCCATGTAGTAATCCAACAATGTGTACACCGCCATCTTGTCTTTTTTTCTCCAAATCTTCTCCCATTGATTGAGACAGGTGGATGGATGCCCCGCTAGTTTCACTAGCTGGCGAGGACTATGGCAGCCGGTAGAGCTTTTTGAGTCAACGTGACATGCCGGCAAATTCAAGATACAAGAACCATTTGAACAGTTTGCTACTACAGCTGATGAAGGAGTGGAATGAGCGTGGAAATGTGGACATGGACAGTGAGGAAGAAGGAAAGGAGCTGAGTGTAGAGGGAAGTGGTGTCATGAGGAAGATTGGCGTCAAGTACAAAAAGAAAAAAAACGTACTCCGGTAGCTCAGAAATTGAACCTGACGAGAGTGAGGATAAATTACCTGCAGTGGCAGGTGAAGGTGAAGACAGCTGAGTTCGAGCCTCGTGATGACAAAGATGATTCTGGACAAGTGGGAGTGAGATTTTTTTGGGGGGGCTAATCCATATGTGGTGTCAGGTTGGGTGGAGAAGAGGTTGGGGACTGTTGAGTTGGTGAAAGTAACTCAAAGTGGACTCGTGATGATTTTTTGCATTTCAGTACAGAGGGAGTGGGCGCTCCACGCCACGTGTCTAGGGACAAGAACTGTCAATTGCTGTGCTCTCTCGATCAGGGCGCAGTTGCTGGGGTGGCGTTAAGTGTTGAGGAGGATCAACTGAAATGGAAGATTCCCGGTGTCTGTGACGACTGCTGTTTGGTGCGACGCAGACCCGGTGGAGAGCGTGGTGAAACAGAGAAGACACTGTCTGTCCTTCTGAGTTTTGATGCAGTCTTTAACCTGACAAAGTCAAGTTGGGATGTGTCAGTTATCCCGTGAGGCCTTTTGTCCCAAACCCATTAGTGTTTTAGGTGCCAAGCTTATGTAATATCGGTGGAGTATCGGTGGAAAAAGTTGTGTGTGTTAACTGTATAGGTACCCATGGTGCTGGAGATCAGAAGTGTCTGGTGAGGAAAAAAGACAGGTTGAGGTTGCCAGGATCAGAGTATGTGTCGTATGCTGATGCAGTGAAGAGAGTAGTAGAGGCAGATGTGTCCAGGGCAAGGGATCCTAAGAGGCTCCCTGTGAGTAGGATGAGGCCAATAGAATGCTAGGAATAGCATGCTTCACTAAGGTTGGTTTCTTAGTGTTCATAACCATGGTTATTAACTATACTGCAGAAATGGAACGTAAAATCACAGAAAATAGATGTTGTGGTGGCAGCTGCAGAGAAGTACTTGGGTGTATGAGATTTTACTGCAGAAGAGGTACAAGGTGTGTTGAGCAATAGTGTCCGTCTCCAGGCTGTCGGCCTGGTGTAGGATCAGATAGGGCCAAGTAGTGGAACAGTGGTGAGGTTTTAATGGGTGGAGGGTTAGTTGGTAATGCAATTTTCCTTCCCTTCCCTTTTTGTGTCACAAAGTGTAATGAATTCACACTCCAGAACAGTAAATGGAAACACAGGGCTAGATAAGAGAAATAGATTAATAGGGAGGCTGTGACCGGCCTCACACTCCAGTACAGTATGTGGCATTGTATGCACTTTTCAGTTGGCTGCGATCCGCCAATATAAATTTAAAGAAGAAGAAGCGACCGGTGGGTCCACCCCAAAGTGCCGCATGTCATGAGGACAGACACCTGTCTCGATCAATGAGAGAAGACTTGAAATAGACAAGATGGCGGCATACAGGTTGTTGGATTACATCATGGTCCCAAAAAAATATTTATTTTAATAACGGAGCATTTTCTAAATTCAAACGGACCCCCTGCAACTGGACACAGATATTTTATGAGACTCCTGTTTCCACGAATCGAGGACAAAGATAGTATCGCCAGGTTAGTTGAAAAATCTCTGCTGACGTTTTGTATAGCCACACCTGTAACAACCAGTATAATGGTCCATTTTGGGGGGGGTTAAATCACATTATCTGGTGTTACAATCTGTAGCTAGGGGAGGCAGGGAGTCCCTCTACCCTCTCTCTGAGGAACCTGCCTGTGGTGACAGACTGGGCCAAACCATCATAAATAAATAAATTAAATATCAAAGGATCTTTCCTACCCATTTCACTTTCCAATTACGGTAGAAGACAGTCTGCCAAGCGTGATCTTACTGGATGGACACAGTCTCAATGTCTCGTACTGTAGATTGTCATTACTTCACTCAAAAGAGTCAGCCAGGGCTGGTAGATATACGGAGACTATAGTAACAAAAGATCTTGCGAGTCCGAGGTTCTACTGGGCATTGCTTTGCATCCTCATTGGTGTTTTAACTCAATGTAGCAGCACACACAAAAGCTTGGACTGCCATAGACTAGAATGACATTTAGCTAAACCATCCAAGCTTGGATAATGAAGTCAATCTAATAGTGACCTCACCAAAAAATGTATTGTAATGAATCTCTGTAGCTACTTAGCAACTATAGCGTGTGATGTGTTTTTGGTGCTCACTTGCATGGACGCATACCTTTCGTAGGTTTGAAGAGAGTTTCACCTCAGTCGTTTGGTGTGCTCAACGGTCAAGGTTTGTGAGAACCCAGGTAGAAAACAGGTACCCTTAAACCTGCCTGTTTTATAGAGGATCATAGAGATCAATAGAGGGTGCATCTGCCACAAAACACGTTTTTGCATCCTCCTTCCATCTCTATGGGGAATTCAGAACATATCTATCCCATGAACCATGGAGGAACGCTAAACAACTTCTGTATTGCAGTGGCACGCAGTCTGTTTGTGGCTAGAGATGATACTGTACAAACTCTGCGTGTCTGCTTTAATATCCATGTCAGGTATCCATTTACAGTAAGGGTTAAGTCAGGGCGAATCAATAAACATTATGTATAGCCCTACTTCCTGAATTATGACATGGCATGCTGTGACTGGAGGCAATCGCTGCAGTTTTAGGGCTTTTCAATGATGAAACGACCATTTGAAGGCCCCAGTGGGATTTATGAGTCCATAACAGAGACTTTGTGTGTCCAAAATGGCACTATGTGAGCTCTGGTCAAAAGTAGTGCACTATATAGGGAAAAGTGTGCCACACAATGTATTCTACAGAATTATAGCTAGAGAACTGTGCTTTGCTTTGCTGATGATGGCATTTCCTATCAATTCATCAGCATTATGGGGTGTTTGTAGTCCCTCTACACTGACGTAACAAATAGCTTAATTACCTGAAATAGCCCATTCAATTATAGTTTATGATGCGTAACCGAATTGCTACATTAGTGTGTTGGAGTTGGGAATAATGATAAAGCACTGCCATCTAGTGACCTCCAGCAGTCTTTATTTACGGTTGAGTTGTACACTGAATAAAAATATAAACTCAACATGTAAAGTGTTGGTCCCATGTTTCATGAGCTGAAATAAAAGATCCAAGAAATTTTCCATAGGCACAAAAAGCTAATTTAGCTCAAATGTTGTGCGCAGTTTTTTTTACATCCCTGTTAGTAAGCATTTCTCCTTTACCAAGATAATCCATCCACCTGACAGATGTGGCATTTCAAAAAGCTGATTAAACAGCATGATCATTACACAGGTGCACCTTGTGCTGGGGACAATAAAAGGCCACTCTAAAATGTATAGTTTTGTCACACAACACAATGCCATAGATGTCTCAAGTTTTGAGGGAGCGTGCAGTTGGCATGTTGACTGCAGAAATGTCCACCAGAGCTGTTGCCAGAGAATTGAATGTTCATTTCTCTACCATAAGCCGCCTCCAACGTCGTTTTAGAGAATTTGGCAGTATGTCCAACCGGCCTCACAACAGCAGACCACATGTAACCAGGCCAGCCCAAGACCTCCACATCAGGCTTCTTCACCTGCGTGATCGTCTGAGACCAGCCACCCAGACGGCTAACGAAACTGAGGAGTATTTCTGTCTGTAATAAAGCCCTTTTGTGGTGAAAAAGCGCATTCTGAGTGGGTGGGCCTTTGCCTCCCAGGCCCACCCATGGCTGTGCCCCTGCCCAGTCATGTGAAATCCATAAATTAGGGCATAATTAATTTATTTCAATTGACTGATTTCCTTATATGAACTGTAACTCAGTAGAATCTTTGAAATTGTTGCATGTTGCATTTATATTTTTGTTCAGCGCTGATGAGCGTTATCAATATTTTAATGCTGTGTATTTAGGCCTATATTTAAGTACTGTAGTCAAAAGGACACACAGGTGTTTCCATTTAATAAAACAATACAATCTGATATTCATTAGATGCATTTTATGGGGGGGGGAGTTAAGTAGGTAGGTTACTCATATACCATGATGAATGGGGTTATCCATTCAGTAAATTAATGATTCATGTCATGATGACAGATTAAAAAGGCTTGATTTGAAGTTTGAGCATAAAAACACCTTTAATCACACCACAAATATGCCTGACAGAGAAATAGCCATAGTATCTCTAGATGTAAACAACTATTGTGCATTTTCATTCGTCCACTTCTAATAGAGTTTGACTACATTACAACTGTGAAGATCCTTCTAACCAATATTATTCTAAACTTAAGGCATTGCACAAGGAATTATCATGCACGTTTTTGGCCTTGTTAAACTTTATCAGTATACAAAGTTGACATGACTAATTTAATAAGACTTACAGATCAGTTTTGGTATAATATAGTGCTGCAAGTCAGTGGGGGTAAAGATTTAATGGTGAATGCGGATTAATACAACAGCACTGATGATTTCTAAGGCACATTCATGTGGTACCAACTAAGTACTGAGAAACATGAGCATAGATGTATCGTAAGAGGTTAGCTGTTTGTTTATGTTAGGCCTCCACCTCAGCGATGTCCTCAGTGAAGAAGGCCTTGACCTCGTTGCCTCCGGAGACATACTTGATACACTCCACCTCCCCTCCATAGTTACTGGGCTTCTGGAAGTGAATCTCCAGGTGATCCTGCAGGTCATCCTCATCCTGGAAGTCTCCAATCCCGTCCAGGAGGATGGTGCGCTTCGGAACGCCGCAGAACGTCTGCAACAAAAGGTTAAAGTAAAACACTCATAGTTGATATGCATGTGCCAGTCAACTCCACACAGAACATCTGAAACAAGACAGCAGAAAAACGTTGGTAAAGAACCATCCTGTTAATCTGCTAACACAGAAGCAAATCTGGATGTACAGTACCAGTCAAAAGTTTGGACACATTGTAGAATAATAGTGAAGACATCAAAACTTTGAAATAACACATATGGAATCATGTAGTAACCAAAGAAGTGTTAAAGAAATCAAAATACATTTTAGATTCTTCAAAGTAGCCACCCTTTGCCTTGATGACAGCTTTGCACACTCTTGGCATTCTCTCAACCAGCTTCATGAGGTAGTCACCTGGAATGCATTTCAATTAACAGGTGAGCCTTGTTAAAAGTTCATTTGTGGAATTTCTTTCCTTCTTAATGCGTTTGAGTCAATCAGTTGTATTGTGACAAGGTAGGGGTGGTATACAGAAAATAGCCCTATTTGGTAAAAGAACAAGTCCATATTATGGCAAGAACAGCTCAAATAGTCAAAGAGAAACGACAGTCCATCATTACTTTAAGACATGAAGGTCAGTCAAGACCCAGAGTTACCTCTGCTGCAGAGGATAAGTTCATTAGAGTTAACTGCACCTCCGATTGCAGCCCAAATAAATGCTTCATAGAGTTCAAGTAACAGACATCTCAACATCAACTGTTCAGAGGAGACTGTGTGAATCAGGCCTTCATGGTCGAATTGCTGCAAAGAAACCACTACTAAAGGACACCAATAACAAGAAGAGACTTGCTTGGGCGAAGAAACACGAGCAATGGACATTAGACCGGTGGAAATCTGTCCTTTGGTCTGATGAGTCCAAATTTGAGATTTTTGGTTCCAACCGCCGTGTCTTTGTGAGACACAGAGTAGGTGAACAGATGATCTCTGCATGTGTGGTTTCCACCATGAAGCATGGAGGAGGAGGTGTGATGGTGCTTTGCTGGTGACACTGTCAGTGATTTATTTAGAATTGAAGGCACACTTAACCAGCATGGCTACCTCAGCATTCTGCAGCGATACGCCATCCCATCTGGTTTGGGAATAGTGGGACTATAATTTGTTTTTCAACAGGAAAATGACCCAAAACACACCTCCAGGCTGTGTAAGGGCTATTTGACCAAGAAGGAGAGTGATGGATTGCTGCATCAGATGACCTGGCCTCCACAATCACCTGACCTCAAACCAATTGAGATGGCTTGGGATGAGTTGGATGGCAGAGTGAAGGAAAAGCAGCCAACAAGTGCTCAGCATATGTGGGAACTCCTTCAAGACTGTTGGAAAAGCATTCCAGGTGAAGCTGGTTGAGAGAATGCCAAGAATGTGCAAAGCTGTTATCAAGGCAAAGGGTGGCTACTTTGAAGAATCTCAAATATAAAATGTATTTTGATTTCTTTAACACTTTTGGTTACTATATGATTCCATATGTGTTATTTCAAAGTTGATGTCTTCACTATTATTCTACAATGTAGAAAATAGTAAAAAATAAAGAAAAACCCTTGAATGAGTAGGTGTGTCCAAACTTTTGACTGGTACTGTATGTTAGCAGTCTATCACAAGACTACCACACAGGCAAGTGTAAAAGTTCTGCTCCAGTAGACTACCACACAGTAGATAGGCACGTGTCAAGGTTCTGCTCCATATTGCGATAAATTGCCTGAATTGATGCAATAACAATAAGTAGAACGATATGTTTATAACATGAATGTGAACTTCAGTTTTTATTTAATGATCCTTTAAACTACTACTACTAGCTTGATGGTTGAAGCCATCAATTATCCCATCAACAATCACCCATATTAGCAAACTTATTTCATTTCAAACTTCACATTTCTCCAGTATAGGCTACTTGCCAGCGATAAGTGATCGGTGTTGATCATTTCGGTTTATCGTCCCAGCTCTAGTAGAAACTATATAACCTAATACAGCAAGCTGTGGCTCCTGACTCAGAAAACCCAACAGATTTGAATCAGTCATGGCAAAGTCCAGACAGCTGTGATCTGATAGGAAAGTCACAACAGGGTAATGCTTAGGAACAGCATACTGTATGTAAACTAATGGCAGGGAAAGGATGAGCGAGTGTTTAATCTTTGAATCTCACCTGAAACTTCTTCAGCTTGTAGTTGTAAACAGGGCTAACTGTCACATTCACCGCACGGTCGACATCCACGCTGTACTTCCTTTTCAGGGCCAGGCTCTCTGCAACTAGAAAAGTAGACACAGAGTATTTAAAATATGAACTCTTCTCTGATTAAACATATTGAATACGGCACTTTCCAATAAAACAAATTAATGTTCAGACACTGGTAAACACACACACACACAATAGATGTACTGTACCTCCAGTGTTGAGGAAGGTGATTTGTCCTTTCCCAGTGTGCATGTCATAGTCCACCCTCTGCACCTCTCCTCCCCCTCGGCTGGGCTTGGAGAAGCTGATCTCCAGACGGTCTCTCATTCGTTCCTCTGACAGGGTGGACGGGACATTGGAGAAGTTGACTGTCTTTGTGGAGACATCAAGGTGTACCTGCACAGCAACAGCCACATACCTTGGTTACAGGTGTGTCACTTTGGCAATAGCACAGCAGTGAATCATCAACAATACAAGTCATTATAGACACCATTGTATCAGGTGAATGGTCGTTTTCTTGAGAGAATCCCTAATTCCTTACTCAAAGTTGATTGGAACACACCTATACACTTTGCAGTAAATAAGATGATTCTCTATTCTAGAAAACAGACTCCATAGTAAACTAAATCATTATCGGCTGGAGGCGGTTGTCTTAATCGTCTTCAAGGTACTTTATTAATTGACACATTGTGTGAAATGGTGTACCTCAAACTTGACAAAGGGGTCCAGTGTAAGGCTTTTGGGCTTCACATGCACCTTGTCTTTATCACAGGACACAGTACACTTGGCCATCTTCAGGATCTGGGCAGCCACTGAGAGAGAGAGAGAGAGAGAGAGAGGGAGAATCCCAATATAACACATTCAACATAACGACTCACGTTCAACATAATGACTCACGTTCAACATAATGACTCACGTTCAACATAATGATGAGTATTGTAAATGAATGTGTCTTTATGAAGCCACAAAGAGGGATGTCCTGTTTCCTGTACCTTTCTCCTCCTCAAAAGTGATGAGAGCCTGCCCCCCCTTCAGGAGCACTGATGGTCTCTGGGCAATGGTGAACACCCCCTTGATGTGTTGACCGTTGTCATCGCTGTCCTCCTCCCTACTGGTGAACTTCACCTTCTTCTCAGGGATCTGGACATAGATCTGGAACCAGCAGTCGAGGGTGAGTGTTGTCCATGCCAGTAATGCTTTCTATTTAGTCCTCTCATAATATTTGAAATGCATATCTAACCGATCTGTAGTTACATTATTACCTACCTTAAACCTCTGCTGAAGTGTAGCAGACTCTGTCCTCTTAGCCTTTAGCTTAGCCTGGCTTTTCTTCAGTTTCTCCATCAGATCATTGTTACCCTTCTCAAGCATCAAGATATCATTCTGTGTAACAATACCATGCAAGTGGTTACATTAGAAAAACATATTTGAATCATTCACCACAGCCTCAATATCTATCTGGGTGATAGGTAAAACTACAGTAGTAAATGTCATATAAATATCCAATGAGTGGATGTTATTTTAAAAGGCTTTCAGCCACGGGCAGGGAAATTACTACCTGTATCCCTTCCACAGTTTTAGTGAACTCCTCCTGTCGTTGGTTCTGCTGTTTTTGAAGGACCTCCATATCTTTTGCAGCATTTTTCTTTGAATCTTCTGCGCTCAGTTTTGCCAACTGCAGCCTAGATTTTTCGTCCTCTGCCTTCTCAAGTTGTTTCTGCATAATAATGGGAAATAAATATGTATGTAAAAAACATAATTGTGTACAGATAAATAGCTGAACTTTGCAAATAGGCCTACCATCCATTTATCCAGCTCTTCCTTGGCTTCAGACAGTTTCCGTTCTTCATCATCGACGTTATCCTGCTGTTTATAAAAGGAGATTTAATGTATTTCCAAAAAATCAATAGTAAAAGAAAATTACTATCCAATAGGCCTACATGATTGTACGCTACCTTTCCATTCACAAGCGGCTTGGCGGCGTCAGAGTCACCCATTATCTGCGTTAAAAAAAACAATTATTATTGCGATCATGTTACTTTTTATATGAGAGATGAATTCATGGTCAGTTGCAAATAATGTTAACTTACCGAATCGGCCTGAGAAAATCCGGACTGATACGGTTTCCTTCAGTCAAATAACACGACGAATTGATTACTTTTACTGTAACCTACTCAAGTTCCTCGAAGTCACATGGGGTCGAAATCAAAAGTGAAAGTTGCTGCAGGGAGCAACAATAGGAGGTGATTTTCCATAATAACCGGAAACAAAAAAAATGTTTTCCAACAGGTAATCGAAGTTGCTGAAAGAAGTGACGCATACAAATATGTTGCTTCAATCAATGCAGGGCATGAAGACATAATTGTCTGAACATAATGACGGAAAAAACGCTCGTTTTGGAGGGTCTCCCAGACGACCTAGACAAAATCAGACCCAAGTTGGATTTGCACTTCAAAAACAAAAGAAAGTCTGGAGGAGAGACATTACAAATTCAAGACTATCCTGGGGACAAGAGGAAGGCTTTGCTCGTTTACCATGAAGATGCAGGTAATTATTTAAATTTGTCCTAATACAAAATATTTAGGCCAATGAATAAAGACACATCCATGACGGTCTATCTGTGTTTAGTAACTTGGTGGTTCGAGCCCTGAATGCTGATTTGGCTGAAAGCCGTGGTCTATGAGACCATATACCAGGTGTATGACAAAACCTATATTTGCAATGTTCTAATTACGTTGGTAACCAGTTTATAATAGCAATAAGGCACCTCGGGGGGTTGTGGTATATGGCCAATATACCACGGCTAAGGGCTGTATTCAGGCACTCCGCAATGCGTCGTGCCCAGAACAGCCCTTATCAGTGGTATTTAAGTGATAATGCCAGAGAAGCCGGTGTTTGGAGGATATATTGGCACGGGTGTTGTTAGGCCCGAGACAAAATTGAGAGCTGGCAAACCGTGCCAATATATTCAGCCAAACACCGGCTTTGAGGACAATATCACTTTTATACAACAGGTTACCAACATATTGATATAATGATTTACATATTTTCATTAAAAATGTTATTTCGATGAATTTATTCATACTATTTCCTCTTTCCATAAGGTATAGTCCCGACACAAATCTAGGGTTGCTACCCAAGCAGGCTGGTCATTCGTTCTATTGGTTCGGTTGCTAGAGATGCGACCCAGTCATTCAGTCTTTTTGTTCTGTAACTATGGACGCAACCCAGTCGTTTGTTCTAAATGGTCCATTGCCCTTGGTTGCTAGCGCTCCAAACACCAAATGAATTTAGTTCAGTAATGTAACCTGTGTCTTAGGAGCCACACAACAAGTTTTTGTAAGATAAGTATGTAATGATGGTCTGTCATTTCTTCCTCAGTTCTGCAGAAAGTATTGGATAGAAAATGCCATAAAATTGATTTCAAAATCCCTTTTGGGCTGGTTGAGCTTCAAGTGAAACTGAAGGAAGATGGGGGTGAAACAGAAGTGAAGAAAGTTAAACCACCAGTCTTCCCTCGCCCTACAAAAGACAAACTTATTTCTCTAGGAAAGTTTTCACCTAACATTGAAGAAAAGGTGATTCTTTATGTATTGCTTATATTGTATCAAGTTAGAGTTGGCTATATACAGCATTACAGCATTTTGACCTACTAATGTGTTTTCTCTCTGTCTTTGTTTGTGATGTATCAGCAAGCGTCAGAGAGTCTAGCGGGTAAGATTCATATTCATACATTTACATTTAAGTCATTTAGCAGACGCTCTTATCCAGAGCGACTTACAGTTAGTGAGTGCATACATTCTTCTTTATACTGGCCCCCTGTGGGAATCGAACCGTTGCAAACACCATGCTCTACTGAGCTACATCCCTGCCGGCCATTCCCTCCCCTACCCTGGACGAATTGTGCGCCGCCCCATGGGTCTCCCGGTCGCGGCCGGCTACGACAGAGCCTGGATTCGAACCAGGATCTCTAGTGGCACAGCTAGCACTGCGATGCAGTATCTTAGACCACTGCGCCACTCGGGAGACACATAAATATACTTAAAGTTGCACTATGCAGAAATCGCTCCGCCATTTCCTGGTTGCTAAAACTCTAATAGTTTGCCTAATTTCAGTTTATGTGACAAAATAAACTAGCATAGTGTAGAGAATCATTGTACCATCTAAACTACTGTGAAAAAAATTGCCCAAAAAGTTACATATTGGCACTTTAATAAGATATTAAATCAATAGGGAAATCACAGTACTGTTCATTCTGTGTGTCTGTTTATTTTTCAGATTCAGTGACGGATGATGACATAAGATTACTGCTTGTCAGAACCACCAAGGAATGCGAAAAGGAACTCCTTAACTTGTATTTTGAGCAGTTTGCTTCAGAAGAAGGGGTCAGCATTACCAGACATGGAAAGAATAGCTGGATCCTCAAACTGTCCTGTCAGTCAGGTAAGGAGACTCATATAAATAGCATTTTCTTTCTGGAATTTACTGTATGTGGGAGTTGTTAACCACTTGTATTTCTTTCAGTGTAGTCAGTGTACATTTCAACTTTGTACCTGTCAGGATAAGCACTGATGTAATTAGATAATCTATGATACTTGTGTATCATTCAGAGGTTACTTTGCTTTGACTGTAAAATACCATGAGTCATCTCAGCTGGGAATAGGGATCATAAGGAAATGATTCCTTCTCGGTCACTAGAACGCAATGGCTGCTATTTAAAAATATACATATGTTGCCTTTTTTTTCTAGTGCGTCATTGTATCTCAGATAATTTACATTGTTACATGTGATGACATTGTTTGATTGTTTGATGACATTAACATTGTTACATGTGATGACATTGTGACGTGTCATCTACTTATATCATCAAGTGAACATTACATTAGTTTATTTCTTGAGTCTGCTTGATCATTCATGCCCACCAATAAATACAGTACCTACTACCTCCTCTCAGATGCAGAGAAAGTCCTTGCCAAGAAGGAACATCAGTATGGCATTTCTGTGGAGGTGTACAACGAGACAGCTGTTGAAGGGAAACTGGACAACAGACGCTTCGTCCTGACTGGGTTCAGTGAGACCTGCAAGTGCGACATTGTCTCTCTTTTCATCGGCAGCTGCAGCCAAGGGGCTGACCATGCCTGGGAGGCCCTGGACGATGGAGAAAGAGTAGTGGTCACCTTCAAACAGGACATTGGTGGGTCCACAGATACATCAAAAAGATGTATACACAACATCACTAATACACCATTAAATGAAGTTGTATGACCAAACAATGGTATACAATACTAATCTAACTATCAATGTTCTGCAGACATAAATTCCTTCCTTAGGAAATGCTTGTCAAAGAAGTTCCAGGGCATGGAGATTGGGGCCTGCCGTTTAGAGCTGACAGACTCTGTCCTTGTCCAGGGGGACATGAGACAAATCAAAGGAGGAGTGGAGGAGGCCCTCAATCTCTACTTCTCCAGCAGGAGGAGCAGAGGAGGAGATATCAAGTCCCAGATCTGGGTTACCAAGGGCAAGAGCGTGGTCATCACCTTTGAAGACTGTCATGGTAGGGCCCTTTTCAATGACATTATGCTCTAGAAATGATGTTGTGTGTAGGCCTACAGTTGTATCAATAGTTGTATATGCACATTGTATATTATGCATTTCAAAGCGTAATGTGTTACCTCCGTGTGCTATCCTGGTATTTCCAAACTGTTACAATTGATAAACTTGGAAATACAAGATAGTGTTAAAGTCCTCTTCCTGTCTCCTTTTCACCTCCATTTAACACCTGATTTACTTAACAAAATGGACATCTCAATAGGTGGTCCAGGTATGACATGAAATGGCAAAAGTGGAGGGCTGGGCCTTTCCTCTTTTGTTCTCTATTGCTCATGTTGTTCCCCAAGCAAAGGGGGGAGGCTCTCCTGTTGTTCCTCAAGCAAAGGGGGGAGGCTGATGACCTCTCATCTGACCATCAGACCAACTCCTTGAATGCCCTACTCCTTGAAGTTTGCAGTTGTAAAAAAAAACATTTTGCTCAAAACATATATTTTATTACCTTTAGTGTGTACTTTACAGTATTTATACTTGGAATATCACTTTTCAACAGGAAAAGTAGAAAAATCGCTGGATGACATCTTTAAGGCAATTTAGTAGTAATTCATTCTGTCCCCTGTTCTCCTTGTTCCAGTTGCCCATCAGGTGGCAGAACACAAGCACCATTTTGGTGGGGTCGACCTCATAGCTCAGCTGTTCTACCCCAAACTGCAGAAGGCTTTGACGGGACAAACAGCCCTCCTCCCAGACATCCCCACAAAAGTGACCCTTCCACTCAGCACGGAACTCCTCGACTTCATTAACTGTGACGAAACCCGCAAGCAGGAAATTACAACTGTACTCCGTAGGGTCCATGCTAGCGTCTCCTTCAACACGACTACAGAACCCCCTCAGATGGAACTGGACATGACCATGGGGAATGAGTCTTTGGGCATGCTCAGATTGTTCCCTACATGGGAGAGGAAAGCCCGGAGAGAGGCTCTGGCCTTGCTAGAGAAATATAAAGAGGTTCAGCAGCCCATAGAGGTGGAGGTCTGGGAAAGGATCGAGAGCAGTTGCCTTGGCCTCAAATCCCATGGTGCTAGCATCTCTTACAGGAGCACCAGTGCTGAGATAGTGGTGGTGTGTGTGCAGAATGAGGTGAAGACCCTAGTGGAGAAGATTGCACACATGGTGAAAAAAGCTAGGGATGAGCTTGAGAGGGAGAGGAACACGGTATTAAGAAAGATCCCACTGGACTCCAAGGAAGAGCTTGATTTAATTTGTGATCTCGTCTCTGGTAAACTAGTTGACGTAGGGTTTTCTAAAGATGAAGAAAGCTTTATCATCTGCCTAAAGGGTTTGGAGAACCAGGTGAGCACAGCAGAAGGTGCCGTCAAAGAGGCCCTGGGGAACGTTGAAGCCAAACTCCTTGATATATCAATGCCTCTGATGGAGTTCTTAAAGTCTGTGGACCTGAAGAAGTTTGAGAAGAACCACTTTGCCCAAAACAACATATCGTCTGTGTTCCTCCTTGGTGATGATTCCATCCAGATCCTGGCAAAAAGAACTGACATCCAGAGAGCTGAAGACAAACTACACGAGGTCATCAAAGAGGAAGTCATCAAACTCACACCAGACCAAACCCATGTGACAAAGGGCGAACAATGGCTGCAGTTCTATGCCGGGCTCAATGGTGAGCTCAAATCCACCAAGAACAACCACAATGTCAGCATCTCAGTATCGCAGGAGAAGATTGGTGTCTGTGGATTCTCCAGTGTGGTAGCAGATGTGTCAGGGAAGTTAAGGGGATACCTGAATAACAAGAAGCCAGAAACAGCGGACGTCCCTCTCAAATCAGTGCAGGAAGTACAGTATGTGGCCTCTTGTATGAACCTCTCAGAGGTCCCTGAAATCAAGGCCCTTGGTGTGACTATACTGCCATGCAAAACACAGGGATCCCCTTGCCTGAAGATCACTGCAGCGAGCGATAAAATCAAAGAGGCCTTAGAGGCAGTGAAACAGCGGGTCAGTACAATAACGACGGAGAAGTACACATTCTCCGAAGCCGGCAAGTCCAAAGTCCTGGAGAAGAACCAAGTGGCTCTGCAGGCTAAGGCCAAGGATTTAGGGTGTAAGCTCTATCTATCACCATTGATTACACACTGCCAGAAATACAGCTACGACATAGAAGGGTGCGTCACTTTAACCGTGGGTCAGGGTAACATCTCCCAACATGCTGCAGATGCTCTGATCTGCCCTCTGAGCAGTAGCCTGACCTTTGATACTCCGATCGCCAAGCAATTCCTTCAGATGGGTGGGCCTGGGATCAGGAAGGTGTGTGACAAGTTCCTGAAGGAGAGGCAGACTCTACAGGCAGGAGATGTGGTCTTTTCCAACCCAGGAACGCTTGGAGCTCAACACCTCATCTATGCAGGCATTCCTGTATGGGGGAAGGCCTCCACACCTCTCAACACTGTCTATCTGCAGTCTGCTGTCAGGGACAGTTTACTGGGAGCAGAAAACAAGAAGTGTGTCTCCATAGGCATGCCAGTGATGGGGTGTGGCGCCTTTGGTTTTCCTGTCAAAGAAAGCTGTGTGGCAATTATCAAGGGAATCCTTGATTTCATCTACGCTGATCAGAACCCCCCCCAACTGAGGAGCATATTTGTGATCGACTCCGACGCCAAGATAGTGGGGGAGTTCCAATCAGCCATTGAAGGAAAGGTAAGTCTGCTTCTCCACATAGCATTCCATGTTGATCCAGTTGGACAGGTGTTGATCCAGTTGGACTGGTTTCTTGTTGATTTATAATGCCACCCGGCTCTACCTGTGATGAACATACCAAGTCAAACCTTGGTACATTCATGGGTGTGATTGAAGAGGAAATGTGCAGTGTCATTTGTAAATGGGGTCAAGTATTCCCGTTGAAAGTGAAACCTCTTTTTGTCCTGCTTAATTTAACAGGGTTATTGTCGACAACAAAAAAACAGCAAACCAGCAACAGGCACGACTCCAACTGCTCACTCTGCAGCCACTGCCTCACATAACACACCTCCACCACCACCCCTAGCGGCTAAACCAGGCTCAGACATCAAAGGTTATTTCCTTCAACCATACATTTTTGTATCATCACACCATAAAGATAAATACTGCAGGAAACCTAAAGCATGCCGTGTCCTCACTCAGACTTCTGTCCTCTATTAACAGTGATTATAGGTGGCGTGTCAGTGATCCTGAAGAAGGGAGACATCACCAAAGAGACAGTGGATATCATAGTGAATTCCAACAACCAAAATCTGAATCTGAACTCTGGTAAGTGTCAGTTTCAATGTTTACAATTAGGCAAATTATCTTGATTTAGACTTTTAGGTTTTAGTTCAGGTTAGTCGCAAGTCTTTAGAGGGGTCTGAACTTACTGATTTAGTCTCGGTTTCAATCGTCCTCATTAGGAAATAAACCTGAGAACGAGATTTGGGTCTTGGAGGTGTGCTTTGATGTGGGTGTCTCTTGTGTGTGTTCGCACATGGGAAGCGTTTCTACATTCACTCTGCCAAAACAGTACACAGTTACAGTCACTCACCCTTCTAGATAACTTAAAAACAGTCTAACCAGGTCTTGTGTCTGGAAGTAGCCTAGGTTAGCTAGCAAATTTATTTCGCCAATTAGCTTCAGCCGGCCGGTGCACGACCGTGGCAAAGTTGGTTTGACTTTGGATAGCCTATCTGTGGGGCTAGTCAGTATATTACACAATGTAAATGGGACAATATTTTCATGTTACACACACCTGTTAGTTTTCTCATTAAATTCTTTCAATATTTGTATATTAATTTCTACAAATTATATAGTTGGTTTGAGGCTTTTATGTCATTGCAATTTGGAGCTATTGACATTTTTTAAAAATACTGTCCCATGTACATTGTGTAATTTACTGATGGTCCCTAACTAGCCCCATAGGGATATCCAAAGTGAAACCAATTTGACCATGGTCAGTGTGCTGGGCATTATGATCAGTCGTGTTCAGCTGCCCTCCGAATTGATGATTACTTGTGTGCTGCCGGCATGTGGGCAGGATTGAAATAAACCCAATCCAAGGAAAACCGTTACGTACCCTTCATTCCGTGACATACCCTTTTTTCCTAATAACCTCTAGGGCCGGGATGATACCAGTATGCAAAACCCATTAGTATTGTGGCAAAGAAACAACATACGAAGCAAATTTAACTTCTTTAGGAAAACAGCCCTAATGTTTGAAACGATGTCACGCCTTGACATAGAGTTGGCTAGTTGGTGAGTCAGGGTGTTAACATTCTATGTGTGGGAATTTCTATGTGGACATTCTATGTCATTACATTTCTATGTTGGCCGGGTGTGGTTCCCAATCAGAGGCAGCTGTCGATTGTTGTCTCTGATTGGGGATCATACTTAGGTAGCCATGTTGCCTACCTTAGTTGTGGGATCTTGTCTTGTTTGGCTTGTTGTGAGTATAGCCCATAGGACTTCACGTTACTTTTGTTGTTTTGTCAAGTGTTCATCTTCTTTAATAAATATGTACGCATACCACGCTGCACCTTGGTCTGACCCGTCTCTCAACGATCGTGACAAACAAACAAACATTATGTTGTCATCCAGAGTCACATGTATTTATTTTCCAAACTATAGCACACTATTTTACATACAGCAGGTTTATAAAGGAACAAAGAGTTTGGTCTGCTTCCTGTTTTCATTTTGATACAGGTATCCTGACAGCCTAATAATCTCACAAATCTCAGTTTTGGAGGAGACTGACTTTATTTACACTTTGTGGTCAATCTTGACACTATAATAACTGTTTCAGACTCCTATCGATGCCACATCGGTCGTTTTCAACCAGAAAAGTAGTTTTTTGATTCTCACTCTTTAACATATCTCATACTCTGACTCTGGCAGGTGTTTCTGGAGCTATCCTGAAAGCAGCTGGGGAATCTGTAGCAGATGAATGCAAAATAATTGGTTGAGTATTATTTTATTAATTCAGTCTTTATTTGTCCAGAAATTAAAGTGCATTGAGGTTTGTAGAATTGATTTTGTGTGCCAATTTCCCCAGGTATGCTGAAGGCCGATGGTGTTGTGCTCACACGTGGTGGGGACCTAAACTGTAAAAACATAGCTCAGATGGTTGGGCCCAAGAATTCTGCAGATATCACCACCTCCATAGAGAAGGTCTTTCAGCTGTGTGAGATCCAGAAGGCAGCCACAGTGTCCATCCCTACTATTGGCACAGGTGATTTAACTGAAATGTAGTGTAAAACTAAAAGTTCCATTCCAGTGTCACTTGTATTGATTAATCAATACATTTACTGATTTCAATTGATCTATTTATCACTTTGGATGGTGATGTCTTATGCTTTAGGACAATGTGGCATTGAACCCAAAGATTCCATCAAGGCCATTCTAAAAGGACTGGAGAGCCACACGTCACAGATGCCCTCATCCAGCATCAAAATAATTTTCATAGTGGCCTTTGAGCAGAAGATCTTTGACTCCTTGAGAAATTACTTTCAAAAAAGTAACCTGCGCCCACACAAAATCAAGCAGGTAGATTTCATTTGACTAAGGCTCAATTGGACATGTTCTGTTTGGTTGATGAGTGTGATAATTAGAGGTTATTGGTTTTACCTAGGCTGCATCCACACCTTCTCAGTACAGTCTTCCCCCAAATCAAGGTTGGATTTTGATATATCTTTGTTTACATTTTAAATGAATTCACATTTTTCAACATTTCATAGGTTGTTGTCATCATCACAATAATGTTTGTCTGTGAAATGTTTACCTTTTCCGACCCCTAGTTAAGATCCATGGTGTCAGAATTGAATTAAGGAAAGGAGACATTACTCAAGAAACTGTCAGAGGCATCGTGAATACCACCAATGCTGATATCAGCTTAATAGGAGGTCTGTATACGGAAAAAAACAAACATAAAATGGTACATTATTAGCGCACTACAGAAAATACAGTTTTCGTTCTTCTGTGAATGTAACTTCCTACCTACAATGTTTTTTACTTGATTTAAAAGATATTACCTAATTTTCAACATGTTATTTTTAGGAGTTAGTGCGGCGATTGTCAAAGCAGCTGGGAGCGCAGTTGAACAGGAGTGCAAAACCATTTGTGAGTTTCTCCCATCTCCCATAACAATTCACCTGTGGTGTATCACAGCCATTCAGTCTGTTTCTCTCTCTCTCTCTCGCTCTCTCACTCTCGCTCTCTGTGTGTGTGTGTCGTCTGCTTTATCCAGGCCCTCTCAGGGCTGATGCAGCAGGGGTGACCAGTGGTGGGGCCCTTCAGTGTGACTTCATCCTCCACATACTGGGGCCCCACTCTGTGGCTGACGCTACACTACGAGTCGCCAAGGTGCTGGAGTGCTGTGAAGACAAACAGATCACCACCGTGTCCTTCCCTGCTGTGGGCACTGGTAGCTAATGGTTTATTAGTCATTCAGCATTATTACAGGTTCTTAAACTGTTGTTATTTAAAACTCTGAATTACCCCATCAGATAATGTTAACATGGTCCTCTGTAGCTCAGCTGGTAGAGCACGGCGCTTGTAACGCCAAGGTAGTGGGTTCGATCCCCGGGACCACCCATACACAAAAATGTATGCACACATGACTGTAAGTCGCTTTGGATAAAAGCGTCTGCTAAATGGCATATTATTATTATTATTATAATAATTGTTTTAGGCTCCCACCATGCTGCCATTTTCAATTGTCACATTCAAAATATAGTCATCCATTGGTCCCCTTGTTGTCCTGTTTTTCAGCTACACCTGATGCAGTTAATTTTGTATCATTCCCATTGTAGGTGGTGGTGGCCTTAGCGGCACAGACTCTATTGGTGCCATCCTCCAGGGCATCCAGGATCATCTATCCCTGTACTCCTCTTCTACCATCATTAAACTGATCTACATCGTCGTCTATGAGGAGAAGATCCTGCAGGAGTTTCAGCTGGGGCTCAACCAGTGGAAGACAAGCCAGATGGTACAGTATGTTTAGGAAATACAAAAATGAAAAAACGCATAATGTACTAACCTTTCCTTACCAACTAAATGTAAGCGTCATTGTGATTCTAAAACCAGGTGGAAGACGACAGTGACGATGATCTTGAGGATGATCTTCATGGTGATGAAGATGACAGTGATATGGGGGACACCAACTCGGTGGAAGAAGATGACACCAGTGTTCAGACAGGTTCGTACAATTCCAGTCTGTTACAAAATGTGTGCTGCTGCTAGATGTCTGCTACTTATCCTTTCTCTGTGAATCCCTTTATCCAGGAAACACAATTGAAGCAATAATTGGGCCAGTGAAGGTCAGGGTAGTATGTGGTGACATCACTAAGGAGAAAACGGACGCCATCGTCAGCAGTACAAACTCAAGCCTCGATCTGAACTCTGGTAAGATCTCCCCTAATTCCAACTTTCGAATCAGCTAAACATACCTGAGATTATTGCATCATACAGGTCTTCAGATGAAGATTATACTCATGTCCTATCTCACTCTGCAGGTGTATCAGGAGCCATTCTAAAAGCAGCTGGACAGACAGTCGTGGATGAGTGCAAAGCCTTAGGTATGAGTCTTGATGTACATAAAGGATGTAACGGATTTACCGATATGCATCGGTCCCCAGTTCAAATGTCTAAGATATGAGTGCATCGGTCTGTGGAAGCCTAAACCGATCCAAATTCAGGCTGTAACACAACAAAATTTGGAAAAAGTCAAGGGGTGTAAATACTTTGTGAAGGCACTGTACATTTTCAACCTCATACAGAGATAAGCCAGGTGACGTCACTTCCTGTTGAACGTGGAACGAGGGAGAGCTCGGAATGTTGTTTTGAAAGTCTCTGAAAAAGTGTTCTATTGAAAAACTTGAGTTACTAGCTAGCTACCTTTTTGAGTTTGGATCCCGCGATGCGGTTGGTTGCTGGGATACTATCTGTCCAGGGATCCTGCCGACCAAGGCCGGGTCTGAGGAGCTGTTTGACGTAGCAGCTAGCAGGGTTTCCTTGAGGGCATGAACGCAGCCCACGACGCGGTTAGCCCTTGTGGCTGGGAACGCAGATTGTCCCGGGCTTGGGACTGTCTAGATCCCTGTTGTTTGTTGCTGGTTCCATCTTCCCTGCGACCTGCCCTGTCTGGAACTGCAAGGAGTAACCATGACAAAGACCAAAGCCGGTGGGAGTACTCTTGAGGACAGTGGTGTCTCTCTATCACAGGTGAAAGATCTTTTAAACGAACAAAAAGTTCTACAAGCAGTTGTTACAACAAAAAGAAAATAGCTTCAAGTGTTGTGTCCAAATACTGGTGAAGTCAACTAATAAAAGAATAGATGACCTGACCAGAGAGGTCCAGGACCTGAAGAACAGTTTACAGTTCTCCCAGGGTCAGCTCGATGAGTTTAAAGAGGAAAACGGCAAGAGGACAGCAATCTGTAAGTCATTGAGAGAGGACATCAGTTCTGTATGTGAATCCATGATAACAATGAAATCAGACTATCTCGAGGGACAATGAAGGCAGAACAACATTGTTGTGGACGGAATTGCCGAATCTCCACGAGATCTGGACGGAGTCTGAGGACAAAGTGAGGGAAATGATCTCAGAGAAACTGAAGATGGACAACAGGAAGATTGAGGTGGAGCGCGCCCATAGGATTGGAAAACTGACCACCGGCCTAGGTGACAGGCACAGGCCAATAGTGGTCAAGTTCCTGAGGTTCAAGGACAAGGTAGCTGTTCTGGAAACAAACACTAGGAACAAGATCATCCACATGTATTGATCACATTTTTACTAGTACTGTAGAACTTTGTTCTAAAGCTGTATCCGTACCCATTGGCTATATCCAGGAAAGCCAAAGTTCCAAAAGCTTGGCCTAAAATAGTGTGTAAGAGATCATACAAAAGATTTTGCTTTGACTCCTATGTTGATGATGCACTTGATGCACTTGATGAATTTATGAAATTACTTCTTCCAATTATTCATAAACATCCACCTGTTAAGAAACTGACTGTTAGAACTGTTAAGGCTCCATGGATTGATGAGGAATTGAAAAACTGTATGGTTGAAAGAGATGGTGCAAAAGGAGTGGCTAATAAGTCTGGCTGCGCATCTGACTGGCTGACTTACTGCAAATTGAGATATTATGTGACTAAACTCAACAAAAAGAAGAAGAAACTGTATTATGAAGCCAAGATCAATGATATAAAGAATGGTTGAAAAACAGTTTGGACTACATTATATGAAAATATGGGTAGAAAGACTAATTCAACGCCATCTTTCATCGAATCAGATAGCTTATTCATAAAAACCATTTAATGTTGCCAATTATTTTAATGAATACTTCATTGGCAAAGTGGGCAAACTTAGGCAGGAAATGCCAACAACGAACAGTGAGCCATGCATGAAAAAAAAACAATAATGAAAGAAAAGCATTGTAAAGTTAGTATGGGAGAGGTGGAAAAATGATTATCTATCAATAATGACAAACCTCCTGGCATTTACAACATACACATTTTTAGCAGATGTTATTGCGGGTGTAGCGAAATGATTGTGTTCCTAGCGCCAACAGTGCAGCAGTATCTAACACTTAACAACAATACACACAAATCTAAAAGTAAAAGAATGGAATTAAGAAATATATAAATATTAGGACGAGCAATGTCGGAGTGGCATTGACTAAAATACAGTAGAATAGAATCCAGTATATACAAATTAGATGAGTAAAGCAGTATGTAAACATTATTAAAGTGACTAGTGTTCCATTATTCAAGTGGCCTGTGATTCCATGTCTATATATATAGGACAGCAACCTCTAAGGTGCAGGGTTGAGTAACCGGGTGGTAGCCGGCTAGTTATGGCTATTTAACAGTCTGATGGCCTTGAGATAGAAGCTGTTTTTCAGTCTCTCGGTCCCAGCATTGATGCACCTGTACTGACCTCGCCTTCTGGATGATAGCGGGGTGAACAGGCCGTGGCTCGGGTGGTTGATGTCCTTGATGATCTTTGTGGCCTTCCTGTGACATCGGGTGCTGTAGGTGTCCTGGAGGGCAGGCAGTGTGCCCCCGGGGATGCGTTGGGCAGACCGCACCACCCTCTGGAGAGCCATGCAGTTGCGGGCGGTGCAGTTGCCGTACCAGGCGGTGATACAGCCCAGCAGGATGCTCTCAATTGTGCATCTGTAAAAGTTTGTGAGGGTCTTAGGGGCCAAGCCAAATTTCTTCAGCCTCCTGAGGTTGAAGAGCTGTTGCGCCTTGTTCACCACACTGTCTGTGTGGGTGGACCATTTCAGATTGTCAGTGATGTGTACGCAGAGGAACTTGAAGCTTTCCACATTCTCTACTGCGGTCCCGTCGATGTGGATAGGGCGTGCTCCCTCTGCTGTTTCCTGTAGTCCACTATCAGCTCCTTAGTTTTGATGACGTTGAGGGAGAGGTTATTTTCCTGGCACCACTCCGCCAGGGCCCTCACCTCCTCCCTGTAGGTTGTCTCGTCATTGTTGATAATCAGGCCTACTACTGTTGTGTCGTCTGCAAACTTGATGATTGAGTTGGAGGCGTGCGTGGCCACGCAGTCATGGGTGAACAGGGAGTACAGGAGGGGGCTGAGCACGCACCCTTGTGGGGCCCCTGTGTTGAGGATCAGCGAAGTGGAGGTGTTGTTTCCTACCTTCACCACCTGGGGGCGGCCCATCAAAGTCCAGGACCCAGTTGCACAGGGCGGGGTTCAGACCCAGGGACCTGAGCTTAATGATGAGCTTGGAGGGTACTATGGTGTTGAAGGCTGAGCTATAGTCAATGAACAGCATTCTTATGTAGGTATTCCTCTTGTCCAGATGGGATAGGGCAGCGCGATCGTGATTGCATCGTCTGTGGATCTATTGGGGCAGTAAGCAAATTGAAGTGGGTCTAGGGTGTCAAGTAAGGTAGAGGTGATATGATCCTTAACTAGCCTCTCAAAGCACTTCATGATGACAGAAGTGAGTGCTATGGGACTATAGTCATTCATCAAATCAAATCAAATTTTATTGGCCACATGCGCCGAATACAACAGGTGCAGACATTACAGTGAAATGCTTACTTACAGCCCTTAACCAACAGTGCATTTATTTTTTATAAAAAAGTAATATAAAACAACAACAAAAAAGTGTTGAGAAAAAAAGAGCAGAAGTAAAATAAAATAACAGTAGGGAGGCTATATATACAGGGGGGTACCGGTGCAGAGTCAATGTGCGGGGGCACCGGCTAGTTGAGGTAGTTGAAGTAATATGTACATGTGGGTAGAGTTAAAGTGACTATATGCATAAATAATTAACAGAGTAGCAGCAGCGTAAAAAGATTGGGTGCAAATAGTCTTATGGCTTGGGGGTAGAAGCTGTTGAGAAGTCTTTTGGACCTAGACTTGGCACTCCGGTACCGCTTGCCGTGCGGTAGCAGAGAGAACAGTCTATGACTAGGGTGGCTGGAGTCTTTGACAATTTTGAGGGCCTTCCTCTGAGGGCCTTCCTTTGAGGGCCTTCCTCTGGTCCTGGATGGCAGGAAGCTTGGCCCAAGTGATGTACTGGGCCGTACGCACTACCCTCTGTAGTGCCTTGCGGTCGGAGGCCAAGCAGTTGCCATACCAGGCGGTGATGCAACCAGTCAGGATGCTCTCGATGGTGCAGCTGTATAATTTTTTGAGGATCTGAGGACCCATGCCAAATCTTTTCAGTCTCCTGAGTGGGAATAGGCTTTGTCGTGCCCTCTTCACGACTGTCTTGGTGTGTTTGGACCATGATAGTTCGTTGGTGATGTGGACACCAAGGAACTTGAAGCGCTCAACCTGTTCCACTACAGCCCCGTCGATGAGAATGGGGGCGTGCTCAGTCCTCTTTTAGTTCAGTTACCTTTGCTTTCTTGGGTACAGGAACAATGGTGGACATCTTGAAGCAAGTGGGGACAGCAGACTGGGATAGGGAGAGATTGAATATGTCCGTAAACACTCCAGCCAGCTGGTCTGCGCATGCTCTGAGGACGCGGCTAGGGATGCCGTCTGGGCTGGCATTCTTGCGAGGGTTAACACGCTTAAATGTCTTACTCACGTCGGCCACGTAGAACGAGAGCACACAGTCCTTGGGAGCGGGCCACTTCGGTGGCACTGTGTTATCCTCAAAGCGGGCGAAGAAGGTGTTTAGCTTGTCCGGGAGCAAGACGTCGGTGTCCGTGACGTGGCTGGTTTTCCCTTTGTAATCCGTGATTGTCTGTAGACCCTGCCACATACCTTTTGTGTCTGAGCCGTTGAATTGCGACTCCACTTTGTCTCTGTACTGACATTTTGCCTGTTTGATTGCCTTACGGAGGGAATAACTACACTGTTTGTATTCAACCATATTCCCAGTCACCTTGCCATGGTTAACTGCGGTGGTTCGCGCTTTCAGTTTTGTGCGAATGCTGCCATCTGTCCACGGTTTCTGGTTTGGGTAGGTTTTAATAGTCACAGTGGGAACAACATCCCCAATACACTTTCTGATGAACTCAGTCACCGTGTCCGTGTATACGTCAATGTTATTCTCAGAGGCTACCCGGAACATATCCCAGTCCGCGTGATCAAAACAATCTTGAAGCATGGATTCCGATTGGTCAAACCAGCGTTGAATAGATTTTAGCACAGGTACTTCCTGTTTGAGTTTCTGCCTATAGGAAGGGAGGAGCAAAATGGAGTCATGATCTGATGGAAAGCTACTGAGGATGGTAGCTGACTCTATGGCCACTCCTGTCTGTCATATCTTTAATCTGAGTCTAGAGGAAGGTGTTTGTCCTCATGCCTGGAGGGAAGCCACAAGTCATTCCGCTACCTAAGAGTGGTAAAGCGGCCTTTACTGGTTCTAACAGCAGACCTATCAGCTTGTTGCCAGCTCTTAGCAAACTGTTGGAAAAAATTGTGTTTGACCAAATACAATGCTATTTCGCTGTAAACAAATTGACAACAGACTTTCAGCATGCTTATGGAGAAGGGCACTCAACATGTACCGCACTGACACAAATTGCTGATGACTGGTTGAAAGATTGATAATAAGACGGTTGTGGGAGCTGTACTGTTAGATTTCAGTGCAGCCTATGATATTATTGACCATAACCTGTTGTTGAGAACTTATGTTTTATGGCTTTTCAGCCTCTGCCATACCGTGGATTCAGAGCTATCTATCTAATAGAACTCAGGGGATTTCTTTAATGGAAGCCTCTCTAATGTCAAACATGTAGGGTGTGGTGTACCGCAGGGCAGCTCTCTAGGCCCTCTACTCTTTTCTATTTTTACCAATGACCTGCCACTGGCATTAAACAAAGCCTGTGTGTCCATGTATGCTGATGATTCAACCATATACGTGTCAGCAACCACAGCTAATGAAGTCACTGAAACCCTTAACAAGGAGTTGCAGTCAGTTTTGGAAAGGGTGGCCAGTAATAAACTGGTCCTGAACATCTCTAAAACTAAGAGCATTGTATTTGGTACAAATCATTCCCTAAGCTCTAGACCACAGCTGAATCTGGTAATGAATGGTGTGGCTGTTGAACAAATTACTTGGTGTTACCTTAGATTGTAAACTGTCATGATCAGTGGTTGTAAAGATAGGGAGAGGTCTGTCCATAATAAAGAGATGCTCTGCTTTTTTGACACCACACTCCAAAAAGCAAGTCCCGCAGGCTCTAGTTTTGTGTTATCTTGATTATTGTCCAGTCATGTGGTCAAGTGCTGCAAAGAAAGACCTAGTTAAATTGCAGCTGGCCCAGAACAGAGCAGCACGTCATGCTCTTCATTGTAATCAGAGGGCTAATATAAATACTATGCATGCCAGTCTCTCCTGGCTAAGAGTTGAGGAGAGACTGACTGCATCACGTCTTCTTTTTATAAGAAACAATGTGTTGAAAACGTACACACAGCTCTGACACACACACGTAACCCACTAGATGTGCCACCAGGCGTCTTTTCACAGTCCCCAAATCCAGAACAAATTCAAGAAAGCGTACAGTATTATATAGAGCCATTATTGCATGGAACTCCCTTCCATCTCACATTGCTCAAATGAACAGCAAACCTGGTTTTAAAAAAAATAGATAAAGCAACACCTCACGGCACAACGCCTCTCCCCTATTTAACCTAGATATTTTGTGTGTATGTATTGATATGTAGGCTATGTGTGCCGTTTTCAAATGCATGTACTGTAGTTCTGTCCTTGAGCTGTTCTTGTCTATTAATGTTCTGTACATTTTTCATGTTTTGTGTGGACGCCTGGACGTGTAGCGGCTGCTTTTGCAACAGATAATGGGGATCCTAATAAAATACCAAATACTCTAATCTGATAGTGGGGTTTGTAGATGTTCACATAGTCTGACCAATGGCTCGGCTCAGGCGCCTACACACACCATTGACACACACACACTAACAGAGGGCCACTCTGTCATCTCGGATAGATCCAGCTCAGTGAGGCACAGCTCCTGAGCTCCCATCAGCAGCAGATATTCATTTAAAATGGAAAATGAATGTGTTAATGCAAAAAAAGAATGTGCGTCAAATTGAACCAAAGCGCAATGAATCGTTGCAAACAAAAAAATATATTGTTCCTGTATCGTATCGGAGCTCATGAAAGGAGAGATAAACATCCTTAATATACATTAATTCTAACACAGTAGAAAACGACTTGCTAATCCTTTTTTCTGTTCTGATCCCAGGGACCCAACCCAGTGATGGTGTTGTCATGACCACGGCTGGGAATCTCAAGACCAAGCACATCATCCACATGGTGGGACAGACCAAGGAGAAGGAGATCACCAGCTCCATGCTTAAAGTGTTAAAGATGTGTGAAGACAAGAAAATACAATCTGTCTCTTTCCCAGCGCTTGGAACAGGTAGGCGTAATAACAATCTAGTATTATTGTTAAAAACCTTATAGTGACATATATATTATTTGCTATCCATGTACTGTATGACGATATAACAAATAAATACACTGGACACTAAAGACACAAGTGTCTGTTCTAACAGATGTGGTATTGTTTGTGCCCCTGAACAGGTGCTGGTAACTTGGGAGCAGTACAGGTTGGGAATGCAATGATAGCTGCAATAGCTGATTTACTGATAAGCATCAAAACTCCGTCAGTTACAATGATTCAGATTGTTATATTCCAAGCCAAGATGATAAATGACTTTGAGGAGGTTATGAAAAAGTTCAAGAAGGTGATCCCCAAGCCTGCAGGTAGGTGTCAGGGTTTTAAGACCAGAGTTGGAGCTGCAACCTTTAACTTAAAGTCCCACTCCAGCTATTTTTGAACCTGTCTTGTTGAAAAACGACATTCCAAGTATAGATACGTTAAAGTAAACAGACTTAAGGGTCCCAAAATATGTTTTGAGCTAAATTGTTTTTTTTGTTTGTTATAATAATATAATATAATATAGTTGACACAATTGCAAAATACAAGGGTTTGGCAATTCAAGGAATTGGTCTGATGTTGCACTCTGATGTCATCGGCCAATAGAGCCGCAATTGAGGACAAAAAAGGAAAGGCCCACCCCCCCACTGTGCCATGTCAGAGGACACCTGCAACACCTATTGAGATGTGCCTTTTGTTAAGTCAATCAGGTGGATAAATTAGGTTCTAAGGAGGACGGAGTGGGTCTTTAATCATCAATATACCTTTAAGAATTTGGCTGTATACAGAATTGGATCATGTTATTTTTCTGCTTCGTTAATACAAAACCAAAGCATAGTGTTGAGTTATTTCTGGAAGTCTTGTAAGGTTCCTCACAGCACTCTGGATTTCTTTTTTTATTCACTCCCATAGACAAAAAGTCATCAAGAACCAGAACTGCCAAAACAACCAGACCAACCCAGCCCACCCCTACCAGACCAGGCCTGTGTTTGGCCAGCGCCACAGCAACCGTGGTCTTCCCCAGTATGGAGGTTGTGGTGTATGGGCCCTCCCCTGCCAGCCTGACCAAGGTGAAGAAACTCCTGGACGAGCTGATCTCTGAGGAGTGCATCAGCCAAGATGTTCCCTCCTGCCACCTGCCCCTGCTCCTGGAGGCCCAGAAGGAGGCCATCGTGGCCCTGAGTCAGAAGAACCAGGTCTGTGTCCTGGTGGCGTCCCCAGACAAGATGACCGTCTCTGGGAAGAAAGACGACGTTCTCTCCGCAGTCCTCCAGATCAAGGACTATCTGCAGGGGGCAAGGGACAGGGAGAGCCGGGAGGGAGAGGAGAAGAGGCTGAGGGAGACAGTGCGCTGGGAGGCGGGGGAGGGAGAGACCTGGGGAGAGCTGGACTGTAGTCTTAGCTATGATCTGGAGCTGGCCTTCCACAGGAAAGAGAATAGTTTTAAATATAACCACCAGGGGGAGACATTCACTGTGGACCTGAAGGACATGCAGCAGACTGACAGCAAAGGGACCATCACCAGGGTCAAAAGAAGCCTTGTGGCTGACTCTGACACAGGTAATGCCTCGGTTTAATGTTTAGGAAAAGGTTTTATATTAAAGTATAGTTTGTAGTTCATAAAAATGTATAATATATACAGTGTCCAATACAGAACATTTAAGAGAATATTCCTGTCAAACTTCTGTGATAACTCTCATGGTGGTGTTTTTACATTGATGATCTGTTCGGCTGTTTTTCAGCCGTCATTCAGTTCCCACAGAGCTGGACTAGAATGGAGGGCAAGGATCTGGAGATCGTCACACTGGCTCCAAACTCAGGAGAGTACCAGAGAATTGAGAAAGAGTTCATTGCAACCAGCAAAAACCCAGATACTAATACGCAGCCAACCATTCAAATTGTCCAGGTAAATTAGGTGTTACTGATATGATACATAGATTACATATATAACCAGAAGTAAAATTGAGGTTTTCTCAATTATCACTGACAATATCTATAATGCTTTACCTACAGATCCAGAGGATTCAGAGTAAAGACCAGTGGCAGAGGTACGCAGTGAAAAAACAGGCGATGGATAAGAAGTATCCCAAAAACAAGAACGAGCTGAACCTTTACCACGGCACAACCGAAGACATCTGTCAGAAAATCAATACCTGTGGTTTCAACAGGAGCTTCTGTGGGAGAAACGGTACAGAACAATCTATTGCCTCATTACTGCTCCCTTCAGATAGATACTGGCAGTGCTCTTTGGAGGATCTTAATCAAAGATTTTGCAAACAAACAAACAGTCTTGTCATTGTGGTTATCATTTTGACTAGATTCCTGAAGTGGAAGCCCTCAATTTTCATTCAGTGTTTAATTAACCTTGAATCTGTTTTCCTTTTAGCTACTGTGTACGGCGACGGGACTTACTTTGCCAAAGAGATGTGGTACTCGTGTCACGATGCATACTCCAAACCAGATGCCAGTGGGCTGAAGTACATGTACCGTGCCAGGGTGCTGGTGGGTACACCCTGCCTGGGGGTGCGGGGCATGAAGGAGCCGACCCCCCTGAACCCTGCTGACCTCCGCCAGGGGCTGCATGACTGTGCCGTCAATGATCTACAGAATCCGTTTATCTATGTGGTGTTCTGTGATGCAGGGGTCTACCCAGACTACCTCATCAGCTTCAAGACTGTTTGAGAGATGGAAGGGGTGATAAAGTCTTATTTTAAGTACTGCACTGAAACCGCAATTAAATACTTAGGCAAGTAGACCTAATGCCTTAAAATGCTAGAGTATTGATATTTTCCTAGGTATCAGGCTATTTCATCAGGTTGAAGGTGGGAAATGCTGCTTTTTAGTTTGGCACAGAGAAGCAGCTAGTCTTCCTGGGGTCCACATAAAACGTACAAATACATGACAAAGTACAGAACAGTAATAGACAAGAACAACAAGATATTAAAATAAGTAATATATAGGAAAGACCCAGAGACGACAAAAATACTATTTACAACGTAATTCTTATATAGAGTTGTGTACAGCCTCTCAGTGGCTATATGTAGTTTGTTTTTGAAATTATCATGATAATGTTAGCTGGGTCTTTCCACCAATTCGGTGCCTTTTGAGAAGTGTAACTTGGTCAAAAAAAAGCTTTTGATTTCACCTAATTTTAACATTATCATAAAGAGCACATGCATGTTCAACTTCATAAAAAACAAACATGTTTTTCCCATTTCAAGAGGTTAAATAAAAAAATTACTATAGTAATCTTACATCAGCCATAAATCCCCTTGTGACAAGGAAAATGGAAGCTTGTTGTGTGCAACAGGGAGGGGCAATTGAATGCAAGCTTAGTTAAAAAAAAATGTCTAGCCAGTCTATGGGTCACAGGGTTGACTTGTAATGCTCGACCCGCTCAATTCTCCACCACAAAACACCAGAAAATGACCAAAAAGAGTAGAAACCGCTCACCTGCTTTTACACTGATTTTACTAGTAATGTTCAATGTTTCTTTTGAAAAAATTTTTTTAAAAAGGAATAGTTTGACCATATTAAAACGAGAGTTCAGTTCACGTAACAGGGTTGACCTTAAAATTAGACAGACGTAAATGAATCACCATGAAAAATAATCTTGAGAAATGACTGTCAAAGCAACAAAATAACTAGGACTTTACAATGATGGTTAAAACTTGTGGGGCTAAGTCAGTTAAAATCTTCCTAGAAGTCAGAGGATGCATGGAGGGACATGTCAAAATGCTGAATTTTGGTACTTTAGCAAGTCTTTATTCATTCGGATTGATTGAATTCTCCATGTGGTCTATATTAAAGGGCACTTCACTTAATGTCTTAAAATTCAATATTGGTGCACAATTTCTAATTAAAATATCAAAGGGATGCAAAAGATACTCATTTCATGGAATGACCCAGCTGTAGTTAAGTCTATCAAAATAATCTCTCCAAACCAAATTACTTATTGCAAAGAGTCTATGAATCATGTCCCGTGTTTACCCTACTCATGTTCTCAGGGTGTGATGTACAGTGCTATATATACACACACACACAGACCTGTAGGTCATCATTACCATTTTATAAAGAATCAAGTACAAGTGTATTTTGCACATCTGAACCAATAAGATCTGATTGTTTCACTGTACCATCTGAGTCACTGATGTTATTCACAGCTCATTAGATGACATTGCAAACCTTTGCGTCAAAAGACAAGACAAAAAAATATATATATATTATATTTTTAACACAATTATAGAGCCAGCCAAATGCTTGTTTATTGAAAAACATTCCCGTAGTTAAATGAGAGGAGTACAGTGGTTTCCCATGTTCAACTAGTAGTAGAAACAACACATTCTACTGCCGAGGGAGGCAGTCTATACCAAGGGGCCACGGCCTTGGTTAAACACTGCTGCACACACCAGACAAGAGCCCTCATATCATACATCATTAAACAGTGTTTTGTCATCTGGGTTATTGACTTAAATAAAACACTAAAGTTCTCATTTAGACAAGGCCATCAACACCTCTGTCTCAACCCTTCATCATACAGTAGACATGTCAGGATACTGGTTATATTCTGTAAGAGGCTGAATGAATCAAGTAACAGTTTCAACACAAAGGGGGTCTTCTCTGTTCAAGTCCAATGGTCAGAGGTAAACTTGATTACATCTACCCATGCAGGGGAGGAGCAGAGTACAGGCTTGGACAAGAGAAACATAAAACAAACATCAGCCCTAATATTAGCATTATCCTCCTTTAGACTGACCGACACTCACCAGGTCAGAGACAGCGGGGAGGGGGAGAGAGAGCGGGGAGAGAGAGAGTGTTGGGGAGGGGAGAGAGGAGACGGTGAGGGGGAGAGGGTTAGATAGAGGGAGGGTGGATATATGGGCATTGATGGGAGGGCTGAGAGAGTGAGGGGTAGTAAGACTGAGAGGGAGGGGAGGAAGATGAGAGGTGAGGGAGGAAGATGAGGGGAGGGGAGGAAAGAACGAGGGCGGGAAGAGAGAAGGGGGACAGGGAAAGAGAATGGGGAGGCAGGGAGGGGGAAAGAGAAGCGTGGCGAGGGGGGAGGGAGAGAGCAGAGTAGGGGAGGAGAGAGAAGGGGAGAGGAAAGGGGAGCAAAGGGGGGAGGAGGGGGAGGGGGAGAGGAAGGGGGAGGGGGGGAGAGGAAGGGGGAGGGGGGGGGGAGAGGAAGGGGGAGGGGGAGGAGAGCGAGGAGAGGGGGAGAGAGCGAGGAGAGGAGAGAGAAGGGGAGAGGAAGGGGGAGAGAGAAGGGGAGAGGAAGGGGGAGAGAGAAGGGGAGGGGGAGAGAGAAGGGGAAAAGAGAAGGGGAGAAGGGGAGAGAGGGGAGGGGGAGAGAGAAGGGGAAAAGAGAAGGGTAGGGGGAGAGAGAGGGGGAGGGGGGGAGAGAGAGGGGGAGGGGGAGGGGGAGAGAGCGAGGGGAGGGGGAGAGAGCGAGGGGAGGAGAGAGAAGGGGAGAGGGAGGGGGAGAGAGCGGGAGAGACAGTTTTATTGCACTACATCTGCTGGGTAGAGTTGCCGTTCCAAGTGTTATTTTCATCCTCACTGTCCTGGTGATTCCGTAGCCTGTGGATTTTGCCGTCTCGTTTGAAGTCTACTGGTTGCTTCTCCAGTGTGCGTTTGCGAAGGGTTTCTCTGAGAAAGTGAAAATGGATGTGAAACACCAATTAGGCTTTAGAACACCCAATCTTACAGAACCACACTATTCAATCAAACCCCTAGATTCATTCTCAGAATTATTTGCACTCTGGCTACAACAACAATGCACGTGTCTGTTATGACCCCTGACAACGATTAACCTGGACCAGTTGACCAGCCTAACCATTCAATTACAATGTAATTGTACATTGTAACAATCGGGCAAAGTCTTGTCACCTGAACTCCAAACCATAATGTACCATCACAACAATCTCAACTACTCCTAAACATAGGAGAGCCTGCTGGATGGGGCCTCACCTCTTTGGTTCAGCAGATGAGGAGGAGGAACCAGAGGCTGAGTTGGTGTTGGGCTGTTGGGCTGGGCCTCTGGGGCCTGCTGCTCCGGGGGTGGGGGGGCTGGTGAAGAGGAAGCCGCTCAGGAACCTCCACACAGCCAGCAGAGGGTAGAGGATGGTGCCCAGCACAGCCCAGATACCGCCTCCAGAGGACGACTGCACCACCGTGTTATTGGGCCGTCCCGTTTGCTGGAAGCGGTTAGGAAGGGTATAAAACACATTATACTCAGTGTTACTAGGGAGAACCAGCAAAAAAGACAGGGAAAACAAGCTAAAATTCCCTAAAACAAACATGGGAAACTAGATAAACCAATGTACACAAAGAAACCTAAACCTTACATAAAGTCAACCATACATACTTGTACGAGGACTAAATATAACTGTTCAGTGATACTAGGACACTGTCTTGTTGTGAATTCACAAATGACAAAGTCGAAAATGGGGGATGTATCTATGGCCGCTAGATACCAGTTGTCATTAATATTAGCGGAGGTTTCCAGAGGGAAGCAGCAAAGTCACTCACAGGCCGCAGGACTATGGAGGCACTGGGAGACAGCTCCAACTCCAGTAGAGTTTTGTCCAGGTCATCAGCCGTAAACTCCCTGCGAGGGAACATAGTCGCCAGTGAGAAGTTGCCGTACCGATTTCCCACTTCCTGAAAGGAGAAATACAAACTCTTTAGTGACAGCCAGCATTATGATATTTAATATCATATCCCACCAAAGAGAACGAACGTTCTTAATATTCACTTGTCTAACTTGAGTTGGAAAAAGTATGTTACATTGACAGCGAACTGCCGAGCCTCCTTCAGTCTGGCCTCTGAGGGGAACCGGCTGGAGAAGAAAGAACCATCTGGAAGACGGAACTGTATTCTTGCTATGGCGCTGGAGGACAATAACAACACACAACGTTTAATTATGTCAAGCTATGATTATATTAGTGGTGACATACAACATAGAACTTACTGGGGTGTAAAAAAAAAAGTGACTTCTTTAAAACCTCCTTCTGAATCTCAATTTTCTCCTGTGCCTGTAGAGTAGCCCCATACCTCCTCTCCCCGTGGCCGTGTGCGTTCTCCTTCTTGGCCTCTGCCTCTGCCTGTCTGGCCTGCAGTGCTGCCAGCCGGGCTGCCTCCACCTCCTCCTGGTTATTGGCATAGCGGGCAGCTCTGTCAGCACGGTCCTGTGGGGACAAAATGGCATCAGCCAGCCACTATACTCCTTCCGCACCACCACAACAAACAGAGGCCCAAAAAGTGATTATTATTATTTTAGTTCAAAGTCTGGTGGGTTTTGAAGCTGAGGGGTGAGAGTGTGATGCGTTTGTTTACCAGGGCGATCTGTGCTTTGACACGCTCCCTGGCAGCCTTCTCCTCAGCCTTCTCCCTGCTCCTCTCATCCATAATGCATTTGGTCTTCTCATCCTCCGTCCTCCTCTTGAAGTCCAGCATCTCCTTCTCCTTCTTTATTTCACCCTGACCATCATCACACAGAAATAGATAGAGGCGCACACAAGTATCAATAGGCTAGCCATACTATGGGAGGTGTCAGCATGGGACACCAACGAGATGTCAGTATGGGAGGTGTCAGTATGGGACACCAACGAGATGTCAGTATGGGAGGTGACAGTATGGGAGGTGTCAATATGGGACACCAACGAGGTGTCAGTATGGGAGGTGACAGTATGGGACACCAACGAGGTGACAGTATGGGAGGTGACAGTATGGGAGGTGTCAGTATGGGAGGTGTGAGTATGGGACACCAACGAGGTGTCCGTAGGGGAGGTGTTCTTCACCTCCTCCTCTTTCTTTTTCTGCTCACGTCTTCCCTCCAGTTTCTTTGTTAACCTACACAAGGGAAGGTTTCAGTTTCAGAAGATAAAGCATGTTTCAACCCTCCATCCCTGCTCCTCCGTTGTGTGTCGTTCCTACCTCTCCACCTTGGCATCAAGGCCCTCGTCAGGCTGAGAGCTGGTTGATGCGTCATCTGATGATGCGCTCCTGTCCTCCCCGGGGGTGACGACCACTGAGGCTGATGCTCCGCCTTCTTCTGCTGGCCTGGACAGGGATTCTGAGTAGAACCACAAGCGGATTACAGCAATCATTATCAGTGGGTGTTTCTCAATATGCACACTACCGTGCTCCACTCTCATGCTCCGCGTGCATTCTCCGATGACGTTCTCTTAAGTATGTTCTTGTGAGGACGAGAGTGTGGAGAATGCATCATTTTTTTACGCGGTCGTGTCATATTTCTGTGCATACTTTCAATTGAAGCTTGCATTGATGCATACTTCAAAATATGTACAAACGGAATACGCATTCGAGAAGTGCCCTCCATGCTCCGTTTCGCATACTTTGATTTGGATCCATACTCCGACCCTCCCGTGCTCGGACCACTGAAGTATGCATTTTGAGAAACACCAAGTGTATCAATTAACAGCAATCATGACAGTGTCTCTATTTAAATCCACACAGTTGTTCATATCAACAGGACACATACACTATATACAAAAGTATGTGGACACCCCTTCAAATTAGTGGATTCGGCTATTTCAGCGACACCCGTTGCTAACAGGTGTATAAAATTGAGCACACCGCCATGCAATCTCCATAGACAAACATTGGCAGTAGAATGGCCTTATTGAAGAGCTCAGTGACTTTCAACGTGGCACCATCATAGAAGGCCACCTTTCCAACAAGTCAGTTCATCAAATTTCTGCCCTGCTAGAGCTGCCCCGGTCAACTGTAAGTGCTGTTATTGTGAAGTGGAAACGTCTAGGAGCAACAACGGCTCAGCCACGAAGTGGTAGACCACACAAGCTCACAGAACGGGACCGCCGAGTGCTGAAGCACGTAGCATATAAAGATAATCTGTCCTCGGTTGCAACACTCACTACCGAGTTCCAAACTGCCTCTGGAAGCAATGTCAGCACAACTGTTCATCAGAAACTTAATGAAATGGGTTTCCATGGCCGAGTAGCCGAACAAAAGCCTAAGATCACCATGCGCAATGCCAAATGTCGGCTGGAGTGGTGTAAAGCTCGCCGCCATTGGACTCTGGAGCAGTGGAAATGCGCTCTCTGCAGTGATGAATCATGCTTCACCATCTGGCAGTCCGACAGATGAATCTGGGTTTGGCGGATGCAAGGAGAACGCTTCCTGCCCCAATGCGTAGTGCCAACTGTAAAGTTTGGTGGATGAGGAATAATGGTCTGGGGCTGTTGTTCATGGTTCGGGCTAGGCCCCTTAGTTCCAGTGAAGGGGAATCTTAACGCTACAGCATACAATGACATTCTTGACGATTCTGTGCTTCCAACTTTCTGGCAACAGTTTGGGGAAGGCCCTTTCCTGTTTCAGAATGACAATGTTCCCTGCACAAAGCGAAGTCCATACAGAAATTGTTTGTTGAGATCTGTGTGGAAGAACTTGACTGGCCTGCACAGAGCCCTGACCTCAACCCCACTGAACACCTTTGGGATGAATTGGAACGCTGACTGCGAGCCAGGCCTAATCGCCCAACATCAGTGCCCGACCTCAATAATGCTTGTGGCTGAATGGAAGCAAGTCCCCGCAGCAATGTTCCAACTAGCAGAAAGCCTTCCCAGAAGAGTGGATGCTGTTATGGCAGCAAAGGGGGGACCAACTCCATATTAATGCCCATGATTTTGGAATGAGATGTTCGATGAGCAGCTGTCCACATACTTTTAGTCATGTAGTGTATCTAGTAACACACAGAACAGCATTTCTGTATAGCGCAACTGCTTGTATTTTGTTGCATTGTTATGCAGCAAAACTACTGTGGTCAACTATCATTCATCAGCATTCCATCCACGGTGGTCTCACACACAAACACACCTTTAGATGTTACTGGCACTGCTGCACTGTCTGTGTCTGCTGGTGGTGTGTGGCTGGGCTGGAGCTCCAGTGAGGGTGAGGGGGGCTGTGCTGAGGCTGGCTCTGAGGCTACCACAGCTGGGTGGCAAGCCTCCATGGGGGCCCCTGCTTCCGCTCCCTCACCTGCTATCTGCTGGGCGTGCATCTGTATGGCACAAGAGATGCATATTCAGTGTGACACCTTCTGCCTTACATCTCAGTGCTCTTGGAGACCATTTACTGTTATTGTTTAAGTATTTTCTGTTTTGCATTGGCTATCCTACCTGTTTGACTTTGTCGATTCTTTTCATGAGTTCCTCTGCAGAGACACTCCCGGCAACAACTTCCAGGGGGATTCCATTCTCTCCAATAAAGAAACTGGATGGGATGCACACCACTGGGTCTTCAGGGGGAGTTAAGGGCAAACCAACGTGCACAACAACAACAACATAATAATAAAGGGATTATAATATGCAACATCTTCTACACAAAATAAAGACTGAGGGATCAGAAACACAACAGTCTAACTATAAGGGTAATAAAAACCCTTTGGAGAGGAAGGATACAGATTTGGGAGAACTGAGTGCATGTCTCGCTGGAAGAAAATAAAAATATGAAACATAAGACATCACATTTATGTTAGTATTACTATTGTCATTAGAAAATAATGTAAGGAAGGCGTGTGTGTCATATTCACACTAGTGTAGGATTGCATTATAGGCTACCTATTAGCATCTGCCTTGATTGCAACACAGCAGTTATGGGATGCCTCCGACACTCTGTCGTCATCCCAACTGGACATCATTTGTGCTGACACCTCATCGTCGCCTGGTAGAGGGCAAGAATGTCAAAAGTGGTGAATAATTTGCATCACTCGCACTGCCCACAAGACAAGTCTGTTGGTAGTGACAGTCGCTGGTTTTACTTAATATTAGGCAAGGAACGGACGGTGAATAATGACGAGAAACACGCTACCTATGTTTCTGATGTAAACAAACGGGTCAGCAAGCTAGCCAGTTCAGTTGTCATAAACGGCTAGAACTAACCAGTTCGCTAACAGTTAACTAGCTAGCTAAATCGCATTAGTTAGGCTGGATACAGGACATTTTTAACAACGCTTTTTTATTCTAAAAACTAGTTCATTGCATCCCCGTGGAACCCAGTTGACTAATGATTAGTTAACGTTAGTTAGCTGAGATTTGACAGCTGTCGTTCCTTTTCCTTTCGACCCGTTGGCTAACGTTACATCGACAGTTTGCGTTTCATATTGTTGATATTCATAGCTAGCTTGCTTACTGACAATGACAGAGCTCGTTTGCTCTCCCGAGCTGAGCACAGTTTTCTAGCTAGCGAATCATTCAACTCAACTGGTTTGCTAGCAAGCAAATCTGCGCTGGCTAGCTACTGTAATCTACAAAACAATACCTGTTATTACAACGACGAAGATGGAGTTCTGTTGTTTGGCGGAGATGATGGCTGCTGGAATAGAGCCATCAAACCAAAGCATTTTAATAAAATGTGTTGGCTTTTTCTGTTTTGTAATGCTGTCCAGCTGTTTCTATTCTGAAAGTATTAGAAACTGTGCTAGAACGTTCAATCTCATCAATGAACTAAACGAGCATGATGGGTGTTGTAGTCCATAGGCACGAATGCTTGCTTATGGGACTTGTAGTCCACACAATTATGTCACCGAATTTACAGCAGATGGCATTGTGGTACTGATGAAATATTTGGTGCAGATCACTAGAAAGAGTTGTGAATGTGATTAACGAGGCCCTCTTAAAAACCAACGGGTGTGGTAGCTCAGCAAACTCAACACAGAGATTTATTACGCTATGAGAACTAGAACATTGCATTTGATTAACGTGCTAATAGATCAGCCTCCACTACATTACTTTGTAATGCCACATTAAAATATAATCTACAGCCTCAAGGGTTGAAATACTTTGTACTATTTGTATTCTTGCCCTTTATGGAAGTATTTTTATTTCACAAGGCAAATAGCCACGTCTATCTTAGCATGTCAAACATCCCAGTGCTTTTTACATAGGAGTACTATTAGAGTGAGGGGAAATAATCTAACTAGAGCCCAGAGAGCGATACAGTGCATTCGGAAAGTATTCAGACCCCTTGACTTTTTCCACATTTTGTTACGCTACAGCCTTATTCTAAAATGGATTATATGATTAAAAATCCTCATCAATCTACACACAATACCCCATAATGACAAAGCGAAAACAGCTATTTAGACATTTTTGCAAATGTATTAAAAATAAAAAACACACAAGTACTTTCCATAAGTAATCAGACCCTTTGCTATGAGACTTGAAATTAAGCTCACCTGCATCCTGTTTCCATTGATCAGCCTTGAGATGTTTTTACAACTTGATTGGAGTCCACCTGTGGTAATCTCAATTGATTGGACAAGATTTATAAAGGCACACACCTGTCTATATAAGGTCCCACAGTTGACAGTGCATGTCAGAGCAAAAACCAAGCCATGAGGTCAAATTAATTGTCTGTAGAGCTCCGAGACAGGATTGTATCTAGGCACAGATCTGGGGAAGGGTACCAAAACATTTCTGCAGCATTGAAGGTCGCCAAGAGCACAGTGGCCTCCATCATTCTTAAATAGAAATAGTTTGGAACCACCAAGACTCTTTCTAGAGCTGGCTGCCCGGCCAAACTGAGCAATCGGGGGAGAAGGGCCATGGTCAGGGAGGTGACCAAGAACACGATGGTCACTCAGAGAGCTCCAGCGTTCCTCTGTGGAGATGGGAGAACCTTCCAGAAGGACAACCATCTCTGCAGCACTCCACCAATCAGTCCTTTAAGGTAGAGTGGCCAGACGGAAGCCACTCCTCAGTAAAAGGCAGGACAGCCCGCTTGGAGTTTGCCAAAAGGCACCTAAAGGACTCAGACCATGAGAAACAAGATTCTCTGGTCTGATGAAACCAAGATTGAACTCTTTGGACTTAACCATCTAGAGCAGGGGTTACTAAACTTTTTCACTCAGGGCCCTCCTCCCCTCCTCTCCTCTCCTCCCCTCCTCTCCTCTCCTCTCCTCCCCTCCCCTCCTCTCCTCTCCTCCCCTCCCCTCCCTATGTTCATGACACAAACTGTTCACACCCCTCTTATTGGTGGAGAGAATTGTGCAGGTTTAAAGCTTATTTCCTGCAATTCTACACATTTTGTCATGGGGTGCAAAGAACATTTTGCAGTTTTAAAGCAAATGTTCTTGCAATTCTATACATTTTGCCATGTTTAAAGTGTATTAATGTGATATTTGAGTGACAAAAAAATTACAACAATATCTATGGGCCAAAAAACCTAAATATGCATTCTATTATTACAACTTTCAAGAGTAAGTTTAAAGCCGGACTGAGGTCCTTTAAAAAGACCCCCACGCCCCCCTTAGGGAGCGTGCCCCACAGTTTGGGAACCAACCGGTGTGCCACGGCAGACGGATTTTGATGGGGATTATCTATTATGCTAATTAGATTCCATGCTTTGCCAGAAGAATGAGTTCCCTAATAATCCTGTTTACATGGACACATCCGAAATCAGGACACCTGATGGGACTATGATAAATGCAGAAAATCGCCAATCAAAATAAACGTTCTACCACAGCAACCATTTAATTTTTGGGAAGCTTATTTGCTCAGCTGGTGCTAGCACATGCGCAGATCAAATACACAGCTGGAATGCCGATTGAGGCATTTATATGTCCTAATAATTCTAAAGATTGCTCAGAAAACCGTGTTTTAATCGGCATATGCTTACTTCGATTTTGACATTATGCTGATTAAGATAAACAGAGTAAGGTGTTTACATGACTATTGCGTAATCTGCCTACTGCCATAACACTGGCGACCCGTCATTCAGGGCAGGTGGGGCAGAGCACTACCTGTTTTGAGCCCTACATTTTTAGCTAAAAAATTATAATAATATACTCTGCAGCAGAGGTAACTCTGGGTCTTTTTTTCCTGTGGCAGTCCCCATGAGAGCCAGTTTCATCATAGCGCTTGATGGTTTTTGCGACTGCACTTGAAGAAACTTTCTTGATTGACTGACGTTCATGTCTTAAAGTAATGACAAGTTCATTAGAGTTACCAGCCTCAGAAATTGCAGCCCAAATAAATGCTTCACAGAGTTCAAGTAACAGACACATCTCAACATCAACTGTTCAGAGGAGACTGTGTGAATCAGGCCTTTATGGTCAAATTGCTGCAAAGAAACCACTACTAAAGGACACCAATAATAAGAAGAGACTTGCTTGGGCCAAGAAACATGAGCAACGGACATTAGACCGGTGGAAATGTGTCCTTTGGTCTGGAGCCCAAATTGGAGATTTTTGGTTCCATTTATTTAGAATTCAAGGCACACTTAACCAGCATGGCTACCACAGCATTCTGCAGCGATATTCCATCATCTGGTTTGCACTTTTGTGGGACTATCATTTGTTTTTCAACAAGACAATGACCCAAAACACACCTCCAGGCTGTGTAAGGGATATTTGACCAAGGAGAGTGATGGAGTGCTGCATCAGATGACCTGGCCTCCACAATCACCCAACCTCAACCCAATTGAGATGGTTTGGGATGAGTTGGACTGCAGAGTGAAGGAAAAGCAGCCAACAAGTGTTCAGCATATGTGGGAACTCCTTCAAGACTGTTGGAAAAGCATTCCAGGTGAAGCTGATTGAGAGAATGCCAAAAGTGTGCAAAGCTGTCATAAAGGCAAAGGGTGGCTATTTGAAGAATCTCAAATATATTTTGATTTGTTTACCACTTTTTTGGTTGCTACATGATTCCATGTGTTATTTCATTGTTTTGATGTCTTCACTATTATTCTGAAATGTAGAAAATAGTACAAATAAAGAAAAACCCTGGAATTAGTAGGTGTCCAAACTTTTGACTGGTACTGTATATAAGCATATATCCTTATAAGTAATTTACAGTGCCTTCAGAAAGTATTCACACCGATTTACTTCTTACACATTTTGTTGTGTTACAGCCTGAATTTATAATAGATTAAATTGAGATTTTATGTCACTGGCCTACACACAATACCCCATAATGACAAAGTGGAATTATGTTTTTAGAAAGTTTTACAAATTCATAAAAAATGGAAAGCTGAAATGTCTTGAGTCAGTAAGTATTCAACCCGTTTGTTATGGCAAGCCTAAATAAGTTACCCAAAAAGACTCACAGCTGTAATCGCCGTCAAAGGTGCTTCTACAAAGTATTGACTCAGGGGTGTGAATACTTATGTAAATGAGATATTACTGTATTTCAATTTCAATACATTCACAAACATTTCTAAAAACATGTTTTCACTTTGTCATTATTGTGTGTAGATGGGTGAGCTAAAAAAATATATTTAATCCATTTTAAAGTCAGGCTGTACCACAAAATGGGTGTACGAATACTTCCTGAAGGCTCTGTACATACACTGCCATATACTTATTTTCTGTATGGGTCTCCCTTGTGTGGCAGCTTTCGTTCCATGATTTATGCATTTCTAGGATTATAGTGGGGGTGATAGTGAGTGCAACTTTGTTTATTCAATTGGTTTAGTACTTACCATCAAACCTCCATGGTCTTCGGTGTCGATAAATTATAGAGCAAGATTCATTAAAAATATTACATTTGCTGCTTAAAACCTGACAACGCATAAATATGCTTAATACCACCCCTTGTGCGAAAACAGCTATTTAGACATTTTTGCAAATGTATAAAAAATAAAAAACACATAAGTACTTTACATAAGTAATCAGACCCTTTGCTATGAGACTTGAAATTAAGCTCACCTGCATCCTGTTTCCATTGATCAGCCTTGAGATGTTTTTACAACTTGATTGGAGTCCACCTGTGGTAATCTCAATTGATTGGACACGATTTATAAAGGCACACACCTGTCTATATAAGGTCCCACAGTTGACAGTGCATGTCAGAGCAAAAACCAAGCCATGAGGTCGAATTAATTGTCTGTAGAGCTCCGAGACAGGATTGTATCTAGGCACAGATCTGGGGAAGGGTACCAAAACATTTCTGCAGCATTGAAGGTCGCCAAGAGCACAGTGGCCTCCATCATTCTTAAATAGAAATAGTTTGGAACCACCAAGACTCTTTCTAGAGCTGGCTGCCCGGCCAAACTGAGCAATCGGGGGAGAAGGGCCATGGTCAGGGAGGTGACCAAGAACACGATGGTCACTCAGAGAGCTCCAGCGTTCCTCTGTGGAGATGGGAGAACCTTCCAGAAGGACAACCATCTCTGCAGCACTCCACCAATCAGTCCTTTAAGGTAGAGTGGCCAGACGGAAGCCACTCCTCAGTAAAAGGCAGGACAGCCCGCTTGGAGTTTGCCAAAAGGCACCTAAAGGACTCAGACCATGAGAAACAAGATTCTCTGGTCTGATGAAACCTAGATTGAACTCTTTGGACTTAACCATCTAGAGCAGGGGTTACTAAACTTTTTCACTCAGGGCCCTCCCCTCCTCCCCTCCTCTCCTCCCCTCCCCTCCCACTGTTCATGACACAAACTGTTCACACCCCTCTTGTTGGTGGAGAGAATTGTGCAGGTTTAAAGCTTATTTCCTGCAATTCTACACATTTTGTCATGGGGTGCAAAGAACATTTTGCAGTTTTAAAGCAAATGTTCT